TTCCACCCAAAGAGGGCGCAAGTGGTCCAACCAAATCAGCATGAACAACCTGGTATGGTTCTGTAGCTTTCCTACTAGACACCTTACCTTTCGCAGCCATTTTCACCTTGTTTGCTGCGCATGCTTTGCACTTCATGTGGTACCTGCAGGGTTTAATAGTCATACCTTCAACCAAGGCAGGCATTTTAGATACTGCCTCAAAATGCAAATGACCAAATTTGCGATGAAAATCGTGAATACATTCTGCATGCAAACTTTTGTTAGAACCTGCAATGCAACAAGTGTCATCCTGCACCACATCATCATAATACAAAACAAACAAATGATCAACATATTCTGCATGCAATACATAATCATTTTTCTTTGTGATGATGCACTTCTTGTTCTTGAAGGAAACGTCAATGTTCCGCTCATTCAGCTGTCCAACGCTGAGCAGATTATGTTTGGCGTCTGGCACGTAAAGCACATTCTGTATCGATAAGTCCAAACTGTGAAGAACAACAGTTCCATAGCCTTTACTGGGAATAGTGTGGTCATCCGCCTGGTGAATCGCACCTTCCTGCGGTGTAAAAGACACAAACAGTTTCTTATCGTTGCACATGTGGTGGGTGGCCGCTGAATCAACAACGAAGAAAGATCTAGACGTCTTCTGGACCTCTGCAACCTTTGGAGTGAAGCGTGAAACCATAGCCTTGTGCTGCGTTGTCCTAGACACCGGACCTTTGCCTTTGCCTCGGCCTTTTCCGCGCGATGAGCTTTCGCTGCGCTGCTCTGTCTTGGCCCTGGGATGTCTGCATTCCCTCTTCATATGGCCTAGACGTCCACACGAGTAGCATTTCACTGCCTCCAAAGCTTTGGCGCCATCTGGTGGTTCCACTGCACTATGGGATGACGTCTGTGAAGACTCTCCCTTGCCCATGCAGCTAGCACCCCGGCGATCTGCTTCATTTAAAATCACGGCAGTAACAAAGTCCACTGTCAGCTGAGCAGTTGGTTGCACAGCAATCTGGGTTGCAACAGACTCCCAACCTGAACCCAAAGATTGTAGTATCATGAAAGAATACACAGCCTCTGGAAAGTTGAGTCCTCTCTGTTGCAGCTCATGTCTCAGATTTTGCATCTGCATCAGATGTAAACGTACATCTCCACCTTCAGCAAGAGCCATATTATGCAGCTTGTTAAAATAAAACATAGTTGATCCAGCTTCTGTCCTTAAGTGAGCCTCTCTCAGAGCGTCCCAAATTTCTCTGGCTGAGGTCTTATCACGCAATAGACAGAGCTCTTCTGGGGATACTATCAATGTAAGAGTTCCCCTTGCTTTGGAATCCTTAGCTTCCCATGCATCTGTAACTGGAACTGGGGGTTTCTGTAATCACCTCAAACAAACCCTCTTTCCGCAGAATTGCCTCTGCATACTGAACCCAGTCGCTGTAATTATTCTTGTTGAGCTTAGGAATCCCACAAGCATCCTGAAGGGCCATCATGACTCTGGCATTAGCCTTCAGCGTCATTATATGCTGCTTTAAATCTTGCTGCGTCACTGCTGCAGCTGCCTCATTACAAAGGCACACTTAAAAGTTACTTTCGATTTCCCCAGCATAGTGACTTGTGCCTGGGAGCCTTTTACCCATTCCCGGCAAAACCGGCTTTAAAAGTTCAAAGTCCAGCCATAAAGCCATTATCTTGAAGCTGGCAGGCTGCCCGGAGCAGTAGCACATACCTCATCAATCACTTCGACGCGCAGAGCAGATTCCTTTCCGATCCGTCCCTCTGCATTCCGATCCTCTGCCGGCACTCCGATTCGACCTCTGGAGTCCATAACCACGTGTTGATTTAAAGCAGAGTCTGTCGTGGCCAGCGGAAGGATGAGTAATACGTGCTGCATACTCAATATTGCTTTATTTACAGTTCAAAGCTGGTATATTACAGAAAGACATCTTGCCTCTGTGCCGGAGCAGAAAAATGCATCCTCTCTCCTCGACAGCTTGGAGAGAATCACACAGACAGTGAATAACAGGAAACCAGTGTACGTCACATCCAGTCTCCCTTTCCCGTGAGAAACTCCAACAGTACAGACTGTGGAATGTAAAACAATGTCTTGTGACTGCAGTTGCTGCACAGTGAAGGAAATAGAAACCAACAAACATGACTAAACCGCTTCTGGCACAACGGGATACCGTGACAGAAACCAGAGTGCACAGAAATGCCGTTTAAGTTCCTGCTGCAGTAGTACCTATTTATCTACTTGCACTGGCATGCTTTTGAACTGCTAGGTTGGCAGGAGCTGGGACAGAGCAATGGGAGCTCACCCAGTCATGAGGATTTGAACTGCTGACCTTCTGTTTGGCAAGTCCAAGAGGCTCAGTGGTTTTGACCACAGCGCCGTCCAGAGCTGGAGCTTCATTCAGCCTGAGAAATCCAGAGGAACTATGAGTAGAAACAGCCACATCAAAGCAAAACAGAATGAAGAACCCCTTCAATAATCTGACGGGCAAATGTCTCCTTCACCCAGAACAGAGAGGCTGAGGCCCAGGAGAATGCATAGCATTTGCAAGGATGTACTATGAAAAGGAGCAGCAGGTGTGAGAATCCTGGCATTACGGATGAAATTCCCTAACTACATAGATATGAGAGTAATAAATATTGCCTCAGGACACCCACTGAAGCAGCTGTGACAGACACCTCTGAAATGTCACCAATAAACAAGATGTCTGACATTTCCAAGAAATGACATTTGAGTAAAACGCAATAACAAAAGTGTTTTGTGTGTTGTTGTTTTTTATAAAAAAGATGCTTAATAGAAAGATAATGACAGGAACCTCCAAACATCCGGGGGCTAAGGTTTTGTACAGTGACCAGTGATAAGGGGCTCAAATGATGGGTGTCTTATGCAGGGCTCTCTTTTCGGGGGGGGGGCGTGGTGGTAGTGGAGACCATTTTGTATTTTCAGAGCATAGAAGTCAGATCTGGTATATCTTATATGCCTCTTTCTGATGGAACAGTAGATGGCTGAACCCTCACTCAAGACTGGGCTGCCACTCAAGGTAAAATGAGAGTTGTGCATCCATGGGCTGCGCCTTTTCAGTGATTATTGGAATGTCATCCCCTTTATCTGTGGATCCTGCAGAGCAACAGAAAGATCAAGGCAAGTGAAGCTTTCTGCAGAAATAAGGAGAAGGGTGAAGAAAACATGGCCAGCTAAACCTGGACTCCAAGATGTTAGGTAGCAGAAGATGTGCGTATCATTCTGCTAGCTCTGTTTTTGAATATTGTGCTTGCTGGGTATGATAATTTTAAAATACCTCTAGGTTGTTGATTTTTTTAAAAAAATCCTTGATTGATTAGATTTCTACGGATTGTTTTCACCTCACCAGCCCACAGGCAACTTACCAAGAAGAAAGAAAACATGGGAAAAGGAAGGAAATAGGACAATCGTTCCAGTAATGCCATCTTTTTGTGTGTGGCAATTCTACTATAATGGCAGTATGGTACTTTTGCTACCTATCTATCCTGGAAAAAACTCTGGGAAGAATATATTGGAAGGTTCTTCCTTTTATAAAGAGAAGATCATAAGCTGGGTGTATTTTTTATGTTTGCCCATTATTATATGATTTCTCAAGGGCCTTGAAATGTGAAGCTTTGTTTGAAAAACAGATCTTTTGTGGAACAGGAGAGTTCTGCAATTTTTAGATTATTTAGGTAAACCTCATATGAATAATAAAACGCACACCACGTGTTTTAAGGTATACAAAGCAGTTCAAAGTGATGGCCATGCTGTATGGAAAGCTTCCATAAAAGCGTGACACATCAAATCATATTCTGCACAATAAAATGGTATGTGTTAACATCCTCTGTATAGCTTTAGATTTGCTCTGAGGAAGTATGGATGTGGAAGTAGTTCAAGTGTGGCTGCTCAACTGTCTGAAACAGGCTCCACAGAAGGGATATACTCCCAACCACACATTGCAAAACCCCCTGGAAAGTTGTCTTTATAGTGAGTAAGACGATTGAGCCATCTTTGACTTTGAACACGACTCATCAAGGCCTTGCTACCTGAGACCCTTTACATGGACAGTCTAAGAACTGAACTGGAACATTCTTTATTCAAAACATGTGCTCATCCCTTTGCCTTCTGAGGAAACAACATGTGAGTCGGTGAGGCAAGTCTTTTTCAGACACTCCGTCAGGTTCATTCCCAGAGGTCATTACGAGGTCACAACCACACGCTCATGCATAGCATAGCAGGGAATGACTGACTTGGTCACTTTGTCAAGTAAGAGAGCAGAGGAATCAAGTGGAATGTTGCTGGGTTCAGATAAAGCTCAGATCCTCTTTCAGGTCGAAGTGAACAATCAGTGGCTGTTATGGAAGACATTTTTGCTACACAAGAAGCTTGTAGCTAGGTCTAGGGGCAGTTTCAGATGTATCACAGTAGTATCTGGGTTTTTTTTGAATGTGTGGAGTTCTCTTGTGAGAAAAATGATTTCTTGAGTGAAGAGCATATTTTTGGGTTGCTTCGAGTAACAAACAACCTTGAAGATGAAGGTTTAATAGGCTGGTTGGTACTGCTATTTGAAATGGCTTTAAACAGCCACAAAAGTTTGTTTTGGCAGGTATTCTCACTCTGGACTCAAGCTGAGTCTAAAGCCATGATTGCAGTGCCTGTCAAACCCATAAAGCTTGAACAAGCTCCATCAGTTTCACTGCCTCTGCCTCTAACTGGCTTGTGAATAAAATGGCAGTGCCTTATTCTGCTCTTTGAGACATTAACAATGATTGTCTCTCACACTCTTTTAAAAGCACCCTCATTGGATTTTACAGCCTGCAAGGCTCTGACATGGGTAGCAACTAAGAATATTTCCCACAACTGAGAGGGAGAAATATATATATATATATATATATATATATATATATATATATATGGTGATATGGAAGGACTATGAATACACTAATTGTTTTTGGAGTGGGGAAGAAGTTGTGCACAGTACAGATTTTGCAGATTTTTGTGGCTGATAGTAAGATCATCACATTTATTTTACAACAGGGCTTCTTCTCTGAAGAGGGGCAACATTGCACAGGTACAATTTCCCCCCAGTACTGTAACCCTGTAATAGCATCATGGTTCCCTTTCCCCCTGGTCTTTCTGATTCAGACCCAGTGTGGGAGGCACCTAAGGATGAGGGCAATTAGTAGTAGGAAGGGGAGGGAAGACTAAGCTGCAGAGCCCTCTTGCTAAGGCCCCCTTCTGCCTCCAGACACCTCCAGACATGAGATGGGAGTCCCAGGAGGTGCCCCTTCCCAGCCTGTGGAGGGTGAGGGACACTCATGGGCCCAGCTAGCTGGGGAAGAGTAGGAGAGTTCAGAAAAGGAAGCTGTCACGGTCCGGTTCACAGGTGATCGAAGTCCCCGCTGGCGATGTCGGGACCGGGGGCAAAATGGCAGGGTGGGAGCAGGAACAGGAGTCCAGAAGCCAGGAGTCAGGAAGCCAAGAGTCTGAGGGTCAGAGAGCCGGAAGTCATGAAGTCAGGGGTCTGAGGATCAAGAAGCAAGGAGTCACAAAGTCAGGGGTCCAAGGATCAAGAAGCAAGGAGTCAAGGAGCCAAGCAAAGCAGAGCAGGGAACGTGTTGCTGGGGCAAAGAGCCGAAGGGAAATGCTGACCTTATATCCCTTCCCAGCTCTTGCCACCAGGTGCTGTGAGTTACCAATCGGCCTCACCTGTGAAGCCACGCCTTGCCTCTTCAGAACAAACTTAGGAAGGCTCCAGTCCCTCAAATCCTATTGGTCACAGGGCCTGGCTCCTGCACGCACACCTGACAGAAGCACTCCTGCTGGTGTCTCCCAGGGAAAGGTGTTGCCAAGCAAAGAGACTCCCATCATCAGGAAGAGTGCGCATCTTCAGAGAAGGAATTCCTGCAGGGACAGGGACTCTCTGCTTAAAAGCTTGGCTGGTAGGTAGGGCAATTGTTGGGACAGCTTTGCAGCTCTCATGCAGTCTTGGAACTCTTGCTACTAATACTGAACTCAGGCACCTTGGCCTTGTTCTCGGACCACATTTATTGTTGCCTTGTAAGAGAACCTGGACTACATTCTGCACTTTCCTAGGCACCGAGTTTGTACCATTAGAGTTTACTTCTTTGCTTTGAGGTTTAGACTTGGGTGGGAGCAAGGACAATTAGGATATGCTGCTCTTACATAAATGGAAGATAAGAACATGAAAGTAGCCCCGCCGGATCAGCTCAAAGGACCATGTGATGCAACATTTTCATGTGAACCTGTGAAAGAGGACAGTCTTCCCCCACCCTGCTTTGAGGACTATCTACCTGTGCTGCTGCTCCCTTGCCACTAATTTAATTAGAGTGCTTCTTATAAGGCTGTCTCAAGCAATATCCCCATCTCCTGTCAGTTAAACAAATAACCACAATGGCACTTCAGTGCACAGTTCCATTAAATTGAATGCACTAAGAATGAAGCTGGCATCTGCTAGGTAATGTGTTAATGGCTTTGGGAGCCTGAGGTGTAAATAGCAGGTAAAATAGCCTTAGTGGCTGCTGAATGGGCATTGCCTTCCTGTGTACACTTGTCCTACAAAAAGGTGTGACGGGTCCTTACAGCCTAGAGCTCCCCAACACCAAATTGTTTATTTGAGGTTGGCTCCACTTTGGTTCATCATGGGACCTCTTTTCATAAGGTAGAATAATGAGTGGCTCTCAGAACATTCTTATAATAATAAATATTTTACAAGATCTTTTCCCACTTTTCTTTGTAAAATAACTCAAAGCAGCTAGCAGAGCGTACAGTTTAAAAACAGTATCGAAACCAAAACAGGAAAAGCAAAGGCAAGGACAAAACCACATCAATCATATCAAACTCCCTGTTGCAAAATAAAAAATAAAAAATGCAGAAACCAACTAGCAGTACAACCCTAAACCTGTCTAATTAGAAGTTATCCCCAATGGGACTTCACGGAACACATAACACAAACATCCTGTTTCCATCACTTCCCACTCTGTGGAGTCAAAACATATACCGTCATGTGAAAGACAACAATCCTATGACTGCAATCATAGATCAGGAATTCTAACAATGCTTCCTTCTACCAAGTCAGACCACTGGTCCCATCTAGTTCAATATTGTTTCAGACAGGAGTCTCTCCTTGGCCTACCTGGAGATGATAGAGATTGGATCTGGGACCTTCTGTATGCAAAGTAGATGCTCTGCCACCAGTGCTTCTACGACTGGTGCGCAACCTATTGAAGGCTGGTCAAGGGTGAATGTGGCCTTTTGACCAAGAGAGAGAGAGAGACAGAGAGACAGGGGCGTGGTGACTGCATAAGCCTGAGGCTTGTTCACATAACACTAAGCCATGGTTTAGGGTTACGTTTGACTCAGCCCATTGACCCCATCTCACACAGCAACAACAACAAGCCTTTAAAATAGCTACAAGAGTGCATGATTGGAGCTGTGACCAAGAGATAAAATACAGACTCAAAACTGTTTCTTTGCATTTTTTACCCTCTGTGAATAACAGCAGCTTCTGAGAACGGGGATATCATTAGGAACACAGCCTTGGATGAAAGGTTTGAACACTAACTACCAATGTTACTGCTCCTATCAAATTTGGAGATGTCTGTGGCTCCTTGGTTAAAAAAAGTCAGATCTGATCATGGATCTTCTGCATCAGGTGTGTTTTGGCCCTAATGGATGGATGTGGAATTAACACTGTGTATAGCTCAAGTCATAGCTCTGTGTGTTGCAGGCAGGCAGGCAGGCAGGCAGGCTTTTTTTACTGTAATGAAACACTATGGGCTTCATTTAGATTTTATCTCATTATTATTTCCCTCCAAGAAGGCTTATCCTGTCATTAGGATTCCAGGCTGTCAGGTCTCAAATATTTAGAGAGCAGCTGAAATCCATTCCTTGCCTCTTAGCAGCATATTAAGTTTGGGATTGGCTGCTGACCTGGAGTCTGAATGTTAAATTTTCTTTTCTAAAACATAAACTATCTCCAAAATGCCACAAGGAATAGACACGTGGATGTGCCAACAGCTCTTCATAATGAGAGCAGAAGAAAAAGAAATAATATTTCCTTATCCTGTTGTGGTCATTCCTAGTTTTGTATTCATTTGTTTTGTAATGAATGAAAACACTAAATTGAATGTAGCCCATTTAGCTTAATTGCTGTGTAGCCCAAAATTATTGTCTAGAGAAACAAATGGTCTGTCTATTCATGTTGTTCAAGCACTGGTCAATGGAGCTAACTTCTGTGGCCATTTCTGGAGGCTGTCATTTTATTGTCACATAATGCCCCATCCACTGCATTATTCCATGACGATCTGGGGTTTTGGTGAAGATGATTGTTGAAGTAGGAGCTGTCATTTTCAACCATGGGTATATTTGATAAGGCTACTGAAAAACTGAGAAGAAAGTATATTGATGCATTGCCAGAAATACAAAAATGTTGTTGAATCGTGTCCCCTGACCCAAAACTATGACAGAAATTACTTTCTAAGTAGTCTTAAGCAGTCCTTTTCATGGTGTAATGAGAGAAGGCATGGTTTTCTTTGCAGATTACTGAAGCACCTTAATTTTCTGAAAGAAGATACCAAAGAGCCAGTGAAGCATTCTGTTGTTAAAAGTATTATCCAAAAAGCAAAGTACACACACACAAAAAAATCACAATAGCTTAAGTCAGCTGTGTTTGCATTGGACTTTGCTTTAAAAATTGTATTTGATATACTAACTAGCAGTTGGTTGTGTTATTTGATACACAACTCAGAAGGGCAACCTTGTGCGTGATTTTAATGTGATGTATTTTGCTTGGACCATATTTGAATTTTGAAAAAAACATTTTTCTCCCAAAGTTCCTGGTGGTGGACTTTGGAATGAGCGACAAGTGCCCTGAGAGCCAACAGTCAAACCAGGAGGCAGGTCTGAAGAGCATGTCAGGACTAAAGATTATCCAAAAATCCAGGAACACATCAGAGCACAGGAATACTATATTGTCCAAGCAAAACTCAGTAGCCCTTCCTGTCCAGAAAGGTCCCATGGCCAGTCTGGATGGGCAGCCCATGTCTAGAAGTTTCTCCACAGAAAAGATGCCACCTGCAGTTCTGTGATTCACCACATGGGGAATCTGCATACAGAACCAGTAGCTCTTGACAATGGCACATCCTTCTAGGTAAATGTGTAGCCCAGTCTTTCTCAACCTTGGGTCCGCAGATGTTCTTGTACCACAGCTCCCAAATCCCACCATTCCTAGCTGGCATGGACAGTGGTCAGTTATGATGGAAGCTGTTGTTCAAGAGCATTTGGGAACCCAAGGTTGATAAAGTGTGGTTTTTGCAGCCTGAAGGAGACAAATATTATATAGGTATATTGCTTACATATGAAGAAGTATATAAATAATTCCGTTTCTTTGAGGTTCGTTGATCTAACTATTGCTGAAGAAGAGTGTGGCCCAAAGTATGTGCATGTTAGGTGTTGTTTTTTTAAAAAATAGCATTTATTTATTTATTTATTCATGCTTAACCCTCTGGATTATTTTTTTCACTGGCCCCTGCTCTCTCTTTCTCTTTCTTTTCCACATCACCTCCCAGATTCACCAATAACTCTAAGGCTACAGTGTAAATCGATCCCACAGTTAATTTCATGCTCAGCTCCACCATGCGTTGTGCTACATTACCTTGATAATTTATTGATGCATGTTTGCATAAAAATCCCCTGTACTTAATCGGCTCACTGAAAGGAGCCCGATTGAGATGGGTTACAATGTTTCTTTCAACAGATTGTGCTTGCAGTGATGGAAATGAGGCATTAGGTACGTGGCAAGCATTCTGTGGCAGCGTAGAAAACCGTCTCTGGCAATACAATGGTGTGTGGCAGCACATACTAATTAAGACAGATTTAATTATCTAGGCTATGATTCCTGCTTTGCAAATTAGAAGTTAAAGACACACTGTGCTGTGAGACAGGGAGGGGGAGAGGGAAGCAGAGCACCAATGGAACATGGACTGTAGGAGTGAAGTCAGGGATATGGGACAACAAACCGACTCCATACTCTTGGATGAGTTCATTAGCCAAGTGTTGAAGCTGGGCCTGATTGGAGATATCTCCTAAACCCCCAATCCTTAAAACTGCACAAAAAAATAAATGGATATCCTAAAATCTTAAAGGGCTATTATAGAGGGTTTTATGCAATCAGATAAGTAGTGGTGTGGTTATCAGTGCCTTCTGTGATTTGTGGATAGTGTCATTACATGGCTACACATTAGGTGGCACCAGACTTAGCTGTATTTAGATGGAGTGAGGCGTTTCTATATTCTGAACAGAGCAACCCCCCTCAATCATCTATGATCAGAACACTCCTTTGGGTGTCCTCTACAGTCAGATATCCTGTGTTTGTTTCTAACTACACATTTTTAGGTAAATGCCTCATCCACAATACTTCAGCTGATGAAAACGGGCCGTTCCTTGTATAATGTAATTACAGAGTAATTAAGGAGGTGGACCTAGACTCTAAATAAATTCATGAATGGCTTCCTTAGACCACTAAGATTTCTCTTGCTCTTGGACCAGGACAAAGTGCCACATGGTGACCTTCTGCATCTATTTCATGGGCCCTGGTGGCAGCAGAACGCCAAGCATTGTTGAGTACCACTATTTAATCCACAATGCCATAATATGTGGTACTATATTGAATGCATATTGGGAAATTAGAACGAAGTGAGACCCAGTCACCAGGTGGTCTCATAGGACCAGGGCATATTCATCTTTTAAAATAAAAGGGTCCAGGCCAGGTGTTAGCAGTGAACCATTCCAGATGATGAGGACCTGGAAGTTGCCCAAGGATGCCAGGGGCTAACACAGGCCCCCGGGATAAGCGCACAGCATTATTGTACTCTTGATAAAGTACATCTTGGTTTTAACACAGACCACATTAAGAATTCTCATTGTTTTTATGAACCTCCATAAACTAAATCAGATAATGCTGACCTCTCCATAAAGCTTTGACTTGAATATCACTGGAACTGGCAATAAATCAGTTTTATAAAATTGGCTTCAGAAAGGAAGCCCCTAATAAAACATTAATGCACAACATCAATTGTGAAGGAAATTATCTGTACAAGGGAATTAATCCTTCCCTAAAACTCATTCACCAAAGCCCATGTCTTGTACAGTCACATAAGGAAATAGGTCTCAGTTCATGTAGTATTAGTAGATAAATTTAATTTATTGTGTATCCATAGATGGTACGGACATAAAATAATTGGAACTGCAGCATAAAACTACACAAAATCTTCCTTCAGATATATTACTATACCTATTTTGCCCATTTAAAAATGTAAAATTAAAGTTAAATGCAAGTACTGTAATAAAAATGTACATCGTCGTGAAAATCAGTGTGATTCTTTAAAAAATATGTCTACAAACAGAATAGAAGCTGCTAGTTTCTAAATAATTGAAATCTTCTGAGAATTAAATAAGAATCCAAAGTTCTGCTGTACTGGGGAGTCAAATGTCTATCACAAGCTGCTTCTTCTAGAGACAACTGAAAATTAGTGGGGAGGATGCCTTCCGAATCTCTGCTGGAAGGGTATTCCACAGGTTGGGACTGGTGACACTCAATGCCCAACATCTAGTTGAAGCCAGTCAGGAACACGGAACAATGAACAATGCTCAGATTATCTCAGTGACCAAGCTAGGATATAAGGGCTCAGGTGGTATTCAAGGTATGCTGGACTGAAGTTGTCCAGGGCTTTGCATATTCTTACAAGAACCTTGGTTCATTCCATAAACTTCAAAACAGCAAAGATCTGCTGGCCTCCATGCCCTTGCCAAAACTATACCCTGGGATATCCAGGCTATTTCCAGTGTTATGGAGGTGATACCTTTTTTCCACATTCCAGAAATGGAATAAAGAGGAGACAAATCCTTTGTTATGACACTGGGCCTACAACCAAAGTTATTTAATTTTGTTTCCCATCCTACTGCATGCCTATGACACGGGGGGAAGAGGGTTTGCGACGGCTATGATCCTGATCAGAAGTGTCGTGCGCCCCATGCACAACAAGCTTTGTATTTGCAATGGGAGAAAAACTCACCCCTTCACCAAGTTGCATCTGGAAACCAGTGATGGGGAAAGTGATGATGGTGGTGGGAGGGTAAGTATCTCTTTCCTCTTGCCAGGCCTCTACTTCAAATGACCTCTTTCTGACATTGCTTTGCACTAATACAAGCAGTTGTTGAGGTTTCATTATCCTTGCAGGTGCTGTGAGTAAAGTATAGT